ATAAAAACATATATAACATTATGATAAGAATCTCCTTACCAAAAAAAAGGGAGGATACCATTAAAAATATATTCCTTCCACTCAGCTTACAATACTCCCACCAAAGTTGAGAAATCATGGGTTGGCAGTATGCTAAATCTGGAGATACTTTTATTTTAAAAATGATCATGTGTTCTGATGGCTCCCAAGCACCATCTGGAGTGGCCCCTATCTATTAAAAATCAATCATCTTCTATTTCATTGACATTTCTGACCAAGTCCAGTGAAGCACAATGAGCTGATGGTCAGAAAATCAGCCCGGCAGCAGATCTGGGCTTCCACGAATGAGAGCAAGTACCTCATAGAATTCAACTTTTTTTTTGTCCAAGAGTGCAGCGTGGAAATAAATTATGGTCTTCCCCACTCTTTAAGTGGGCCCAGGTCGGTGCAGAGTGAAATTAGCATCCCATCATATCATTTAGATATAATGATATGTCAACTTCCCTCTCAGTTCTACACCCTTAAAATGCTGGCTTACCCCCTTTCCCCACTTCTCTTTAAAAAAGGTGTAGGACAGGACAATCCTTTGGAATTTTCATTGTTTCTTAATAATAATCTATTATTGACCCAATCTTCCCTTTCCTTTAAAAAAATTAATTGTTGCTACTTTTTGGATTATGAAAATAATGGCCCTCCTGATAGTCCCTTAGTTGTATTCTTTTCTATTTATAAAATGTTTTAAAACTCAAGCTGAGAAACAATGTCATAAGAATTTCCTTTCATACAAGAAAGGAAATCACCCCTACACCCAACATCCAAAGCAAAACATTAACATTTTAATATACTTCCTTCCAGTCTTTCATTTAATATAACAAAAGTGGAGCTATACTGTATTCTACAGCTTTGCGTACACCAAACATTAAACTCATCCAAATCTTTATTTTTAACCTCTTTAGTGAATTCCTCTATGTCTGTGCCATATCAAAATTTTTTTGATTGTATCAAAAAGAAAAAGTTTAAATACCTATCCTTATTTTTAATTCTTCCTTTAGATGACAAAGGTTTAAGTGCAATTTCAGCCTAAAATGGTATACGCGTTTAGCATTCCTATAAAAAAAATTGGTTTACACACCCACCCTTAATATGTATTCTTTTTTTGGATTATGGAGGTACAAGTGCAATTTCAGTCCAAAAAGGTAGAGGCATGTACAGTTACTGTCCGCAGTGATGGTTTCCCCTTTCTCCCAGCAGAGGCCTTATCTCACAGCATCTCAGAAAAACCATCTACCTACCATCTATGAGCCTACCGATTAGGCTCATAGATACCGATTAAGCAGACCGATTAACTCTTTTTAAATTGTATTTTTTATTACTGAAAATTACAAACAATTTAATATACTTATTCGCTTTCTGAGTTCTTCTATATCCCATCTGTTCCTATTCTTTCCCCGAATATTGGGGTTGTTTGCTTTCCCTATTATTTTGATAGAATATACAGGGACTATTTTAATTAATACAGATTGAAACTATTTATATGAATAATTGTCATTCTTTATTGAAATTATCTTTCCTGAATAAATTAAATTACTTATTTGAAACAAATCACAGAATTAAGATAGCACTGTGGCACTTTCCTCCCGTTGTTCATCAACTTGCTCGAGCGGGCACCAGTAACGTCTCCACTGTAAGACTACTTGTTACTGTTTTTGGCATATCGAATACATCACAGGTAACTTCCTGGGCTTTGCCGTGCGGGCAGGATGCTCTCGGTAGCTTTCCAGGCTCTCCGAGAGGGACGGAGGAATCGAACCTGGGTCGGCCGTGTGCCCTACCCACTGTGCTATCACTCCATTCCAAGCCCCATGTCAATTTAGAATGTACTGTGATGTGCACAGAGTCACCTCACTTAGCTTTAGTAAAAATATTTCTAAATGGGCACTGCTATCACCATCATTTTAGGTACAAAGACACCAAGGCAAGGGAGACATGTCACAGGCCACATGGCCAGGGTGTGGGACGACCAACCTATGTAACTCCAGCCTAGGACTGACCCCTGCTCAACCACCTCATTTCTGCCACCCCAGCTCCGACTTTCTCACTTTCTTCTCACTTTCTCACTTTCTTATTTTCTACCCTGAGGGTTTCACCAGAATCTCAAACTCAACATATTTTAGAGACCCTGATTCTCCTTTTCACCAAATAAATGCCCACCCTTCCCCTCAACTGGTCTATTTCTACCACAATCAGAAACTAAACTCTGTTGTCATCTGGATTCAAGCCCATTATACCTTAGCTTCAAGCCCACTAGGGTCCACCTCCCCAGCACTCAGCCTACAAAGAGTTGGCCCAATATTGGTTTGCCACCCCCTCTCTCCTCAATCTCCGTTCTGACTCCTTTGGTACCAGGACTTGATCCCTCAGCCTGTAAATCACCCTAGCCGATGGCTTATTTTCTGTATCCTGTGGTGGTTATTCCTGGTCTACTGTGTTTCCCCACGAGCTCTGCAGGAAAGGAGTGCCACAACGGATTTTCGACCCCCTTCATGCTTCCATGCCTATTCCAACCCATTACCAACATCTAAAACCAGGAGGCTCAGTCACACACTTGATTCAGTGAAGGTCTTCTGGGCACACATATAAAGTGGATTCTACAGAATATTTAGTCCTTGGATTCAGGAACTAATTCTCACTCTACTGTAAGACAATCCACAGACTACCATCAGCCCAACCAAATTTGGGTTTTCACAAAAGTAGTCAAAAACAATATTGCAAATAACCTCAGCATAGCTGCAAAAGGGGAGTATTACCAGGAGTGTTTTTTAGTAAAAAAAAAAAAATGTAATTACCTTACTTTCCAGAATAGCAACCTGAACAAATAAATGATTTCTACTAAGTGGTCTTGTACAACTTATGTTAATCAATATGCATACTCTATTGGTATATGAAGTACTCCACTAACTATTTAAAAATAAAAGAGTGAGTTGTTTAACAATACCTATGACGTAAAAAAAATATTAGGGTAAATCTTGCAAAGCTTTTCAAAAGAGGTCTGTGGTTTATACCGTGGAGGCAGAGAAGAACAGAAGCATTATCAATTGGCATCTGCTAAGCTATGATGCAGCAAAATTTATTCCTGAGAGACAGACAACGTGTATGCATATTTCACATGAATCAATACGCACATTTATTCATACTGGCCCCTTTATCATGGCAAAAAAACTAAAAGGAATTCAAATTCCCATACAAAATCAAAAGAGTAAATTAAAGTGGACTACTCGATGGCAAAGAAAACGAAGTAGCTACAAGGACAAGATGAATTCCAGGAATAAAATGTTAATCTAAAAGTGCAAGTCACAGAAAAATCAGACTTTTCAAAGGAGAAACCATCGACAAGACCAAGACAGTTATAAACACAAAATTAAGGATAGTGATGCTTCAGATGAAACAGCAGAGAAGCATTTGGTTCCCGGCATCCCTTATGGTCCCCGAGTACTGCCAAGACTAATTCCTGAGTGCCAAGCCAGGAGTAAGTATTCAGTACTGGTGGGCGTGGCCCAAAAACAACAAGAAAGGGAGGGAGGGAGGGAGGAGGAAGGACAGAGGAGGGGGGAGGGAGGGAGGGAGAGAGATGCTAAACAGTCTAAACCTTGGCCCCACTAAGCTTCCTGTGCTTAAAGCCCATGCATGCTTCCAGGGCATGGTGGGTGGGGGCTATTTTTCAACTTCAGAGGTGGTTTACAGGAAAACCAAAAACACTGATTTATCTACAATCTTTGGCACCCAATGGTCCACCTGAGACTGCGAAGAAGTAACCTTAGCACGTAGCCCAAGTTGGTTCCTGAATACCACGGAAGGTGGCCCCCAAACAAAATATCTGATTTATCTAATGTTTAAGCTATCATAAAGAGAACTTTACAAAGCAATTATGTATTGAATACTTGACAAGAGTGTATCACTCACTCTCTTCACTCGCTTAATGAAGGGGGGAAATGTGGAGAAACTTCAGCAAAAGACAAAAATAAAATACAGGAAGGAACCTTTCGATACGAAGTTGAAAGAAACAATGAGTTTCTCAATTGAATGTGCATATAGAGGACTTAGGGGTCTTGTTAAAATGAAAATTTTGATTCTGGTGGTCTAGGTTTGGCTTCTAAGAACCTTCTTTTCATAACAAGTTCCAAGGTGATCCTATACTGGGGACCCACAAACCTTCCCATGAGAGCAAGCGAGGGATGGAAATGGCCCTTCCAAGGACCAGTAAAAACTGTGGCCATGTAGAACAGCTGTACCGTACTGGGTGGGGCAAACAAAAACATGGGTGTACTTTATTAAACTGGTTTCGTTTTACTCATTGAGGTAAAGAATTGACATTATTCTTACACTAAGTGAACTTGGAGAGCGATTTATATGGGATGTTTTACCTACCTCCACAGACCCGTTTCCTATACAGCTGAACATTAGCCATTTCCTTCTAGGAGACTGGTCTGCATTCCCAACAGTCTCCAAAGAAACCAGGATTACCAAAAGGAAATCCACAGAACATGAATTAAAGCCCAATGACACTGCAACGCTCGAGTTCGACATAATTAAAGGAGGATCCCAACACTGCATATACGAAAATATATACTGGTCTTTAAATTTCCAAGAACAGGGTCTGACAACAAAAAGCTTATTTCCACAGAAGCCACATGGAATAATTTCCACTCACCATGTCTGTTTAGTAGTAGTAAACCCTTCCAACTCAAAATAGTACTTCCATATGGAAAGTCCTACTTTCATACATCACAACAAAATAAGCACCTAAACCCTTCAAGGAAACTAACAAGGACGTGTCCCAAGCAGGGAACAAGGTCTTAAATAAAGTGGATTCTACAGAAGATTTATCTCTGGCCACACATCCCCATAGTTACAAGCCTCCAGAGGAACGAGAGATAGCAGCGTCTGCACCAGCCCAGTATTTCTCATCCTCACAGATGAATTTTTCAGTCAGTCCAAAGATGAGAAAGTCACAAAGGGCCTACCTGTGCATATTCTGGCATCTGGGAGAATTTGATACCTGGTAAGTAAGACAGCTAAACCTCTTGCAACCTCCACACAGGATTCCTTTTTTTTTTTTTAAAGACTACAGTAACCATAATGTCTGAATGATCCATGTTACAACACTCCCCAGTAGCTCTGCCCAACACAGATTGACATGACGATGAAGCTCAAATGTAAAAAAGTCTGCAGTTTAGTGGCCTTCTACTCGAGAAATCTGAAATAGAGCAGAAAAGAACACACTTGACATTGTTTTCTGCAGAACCCAGGTACTCAAATGCCACTCAGTCAGATGCACTGGAGACTGGGGGAAACAGTGACCTTCCCTTTCAATTAGCATACTGAATATTCCCTTTCTCCTGTTCACATTCTAGAAGAGCCTGGGGTATCGTCTAAAAGGTATCCCATTTGCAATCCCACACTGAATAAATGGATTAAAGAAGTGGCATTTGGAAGGAAATTCCCCTTGTGCCAGCCCAGGCTAAAGAGAGGAGAACAGTGTAACCATCTCCTTCCTTCCGGGAAAGATACCATCCTCTGAGGCCTGTTGGCCCCCTCCCACGGCTGCAAAAACCGTGCATTAAAAAATAAAATACTGCACAAATAACGCAGTCAGATCTGATCATAAATCCTATAAGCCACAAGTCGGAGACAATCGAACAGTCTCGAACCATCAAAATCTGAGGACCAACTTAGCATCCATGAGGATGCCCATTTCCCTAACGACCTTAATGAGGAATCCAAACATGCAACTGTTTCTGCTCAACAGCAACAACCAAAGAAAGTCAACGATGAAACACAAAGAAAATCCAGGCTAAAGGAACTGCAATCCAACCGAACGCACAGGCTCCTTCTGCACCAACCAGCTCGACACCTAAACGATTCCTTTTTTTTTTTTTTGGCTTGTTTTTTAAGGTCTAGGGGTCTTGGGTGGGAACCTAAATCTGTCACTCCCTTCGTTCCAATACAGGGTCTCCTGCAGGCGCACCTCCTCCAAGCGGGGTACCGGGGCCGGCGCTGTCGCGTCGGGGCCCAGCCCGGAGCCCGCGCGTGGCCCGTCCACTGCACACGCGATGCGCGCGGATGACGGCGGGTCACGCCAGCACATCACGATGTCCCGCAGGAAGCAGGCGCGGCCTCCCGCGCTGACCGCACTGCAGCCCGGCCCGTGCTAGCCGCAGCCCGCGGCCGGGTGGCCGGGCGGGCGACCGGGTGGGCGCAGCCCGCGCAACCCTGCGGCGGGGCGACCCCCACCCGCCGGGCGGGGGCTCCCCCTCGCGCCCACCCCCAGCCCGGTGCCCGGGCCGGCCCAGCCCGCCGGACAGGCCGCGCGCGGCGGGGGCAACGCGGGCCTGGGTGGGGCCTCGGCCGTGGCCAGCCCGCGGGGCTGCTGCATTGTGCTGCATCACGGCCCGGCACCGCCACCGCCCACCCTGCCCCCCGCGAGGCCAGGCCCGCGCCCCCCGCGCCGGCCACCCCGCCGGGCCCGGCCCGCGGGGCGCGCGCGGGGGGACGCGGGTCCCCATCGGGTGGCCGAGCCCCGCCCGGGCGGGTCCCCAGGCACCGAACAAAAGCGCCCCCCCGCCGCCGCCCCCCTCCGAGGCAGCGCCAGGGGCGTGGTGCACCCCGGGGCGCAGACCTGGGGGCAGGCGCGGGGGCCGCATCCCCCGCCCGGTCGCCCCGGAGACGCCCCCGCCGCCCCCCGCCCAGCAGCCGCAGCCTCCCGCCCCCGCGCCCCTCCCCGACCTACCTCCCGGGGCTCGGGGTGGGGTGGGGTGGGGGGCGCCGGGGTCCCGTCCTCCTCCCGCTCCTCGGCGGCCGGGGGCTCGGGGGGCTGCGGGCGGCTGGGGCCGGGGCTCACAGGACGGGCCGGGGGGCGCTCCGGGCCGGGAGGCGGCGAGGCGGGGACTGGCGGGGTCCGCAGCCCGCACGGCGACAGCTGCACTGATTCCGGGGGCCGGCCGGGAGGAGGGCGGGGAGGCGGCGCGCAGGGGTGCGGGGGGAGCGCGGGGCGGGGCGCGGGGCGGCGGGAACGCGCGGGGCGGGGCGCGGGGGGCGCGCGCGCGGCGGGGGGGCGGGCGGGGCGCGAGGGAAGCGCACGGCGGAGAGGGCTGGGGGCGGGAGGGGTGGTGGGGCGCGCGCCGCGCAGGGGTGCGGGGAGCGCGCGGCGGGCGGGGCGCGGGGGAGCGCAGCGGTAAGAACTGGGGGCGGGAGGGGGCGCGCGGCGGGAGGGGCCGGAGCGGGGAGCGGCGCGGGCGCGCGCGGGGCGGGGAGCGCGCCCTGGGTCGGGCGCGCGCCGCTCGGTCCCTCCCCGACTGCCGGGTCCGGCGCCAGCGCGACCCGCGGCTCCCGCAGCCCCGGAGCCGCCCCCGCCCCGCCCCCGCTGCGGCCTCCACCTCGCGGCGCGGACAGCGGGGCCGGGACCGGGGCTGGCGGGGCACGGGGACGATGCGGGCTTTGGGCCCCGCCGCCGGCCAAGGCCAATTTCACGTTTAATCGGAGACTGATTCGATCATCGCCCGGGAGACGAGGGGGTCTCTCGGCGCAGCAGGGGCAGCGCGGGTGTCCCCGCGCCTCTGGGCGGCCGGGGGACGCCGCGGGGCTGCGCTTGGCCCTGGGGCCACACCCCGCCCGGGCGCCGCCGCGCCCTCCGTGTCAGCCCCGGGAGGGGGTCCCACCTGCGGGCTGCAGCCCTCCCGACCCCCCCCCTCACGCCCCCGCGGGGACCCCGCCCCGGCCGGCCTGTCCATCAGGCGCCGGGATTGCCCAGCTCCCGGCCTGTCCATCAGGCGCCGGGATTGCAGAGCTCCTGCATCCCTGCGGCGGGGAGCGCAGGTGGTACCCGCAGCCCGACGGGCAGAGACGCCCGGACGGAGCAGCTTGGGACCGACGGACTTGCTCCCGGTGTTTCAGGCGGCCGAGCGAGGCCTTCGGGGTGGGGGGGGGGGGGGCAGGACCACTTCTCCTTCAAGACGTGCCCGGGCAGCGGGTCCACTCGGGTTCGATCCCCGGCACCCCTGGGGTCCCCCGAGGCCGTCAGGAGGGATTCCCTGGGCGCTCCCCCAGGAGTGAGCGCTGAGCACTGTCGAGTGTTGCCCACAAACAGAAGATCTATCCCCATCCCTGAATGAAAAATACAAAGAGCCAAAGGGTTGGAGTCTTGCCTCTATCGCAAATGAATAGAACCGAGGCCTGAAAGGTGTGTATTTCGTGTGTCTTTTTAACGCATGTTATTAAGAAAGCGGAATTGTTCCCCCCCCCCCCCCCACACACACACACACACACGTGAAAACGGTTCTTCCTTTTTTAGGCTTTTACCATTAGGACATTTACTTGTACCAATGTTTACTTTTGCTATAAATGACAAAATAGTTGGGAAAGCAAATAACTTCGCTTTTTCTCTGAAATTGGATGAAAGGTGAGCACTCCTAGGGCTGGCTCGTTCTTCGCTGTTTACACGCGGGCATTTAGGAGGTGCTCAGAAATTATTTGTTGAATCAAGTGGAACAGAACATTTAAGCGACTGCCCTCATTAGGTAATACAGGAAATCCACCGGGAATAAAAGTTGTTTCCCTTTCACTTAGTGTTTTGTGCCTCGCCCCTAGCACCTCCCCACCCACAGTGATAATGAAATACCAAAGAAAACAATAGCGGTACTGGGAAATGCCTCACTTTAAATTCTTCCAATGTTATTCTGAAATGGTGACTCTTAACTGCTTCCTTTATCATAGATAACGGTAGTTGAATAAATCTCTTGACTGGTGAGTCACCCTCCCACCCTATTCTACTCCCCCTTATCTGTTTTTTTTTTTAATTCCCTTCAAAAAGGAAGGTCACAGGCCACTTTAGGAAGGGACCAGTCAAGGACCACTGTAATTCCACAAATGTGAAAGTTGAGGATTGAGAAGCTTTGCCTTACACAGGCAGACCCGGGTTTGATTCCTCCGCCCCTCTCGGAGAGCCTGGCAAGCTACCGAAAGTATTCTGCCCACCCAGCAAAGCCTGGCAAGCTACCCTTGATGTATTCGATATGCCAAACACAGTAACAAGAAGTCTCGCAATGGAGATGTTACTGATGTCCGCTTGAGCAAATCGATGAACAATGAGAGGACAGTGCTACAGGGCTACAGGGCTACTGTATCTACCTACCTCACAATTCCAAATTCTTATCCTTTTGCAGGAGAAAAATCATTGTATTTTTCATTGGGTCCATTGAATCACTGACAAAATTTTTAAAAGGGTCAAAAGGAAGATGGCCATAACATGAAAATATTGTTGGAGAAAATACAATTTCTCCATGGAAGCTTGACTCGAAAAAAAAAAAAGATTCTAAAGCCATAGTAGTGATGGTAATGCAGAAGGATTATTCTCAGACATCTCAAAAGAAGTTCTACTGAAGTTTTTCATCACATTAGAACCCAGATTAGTTTAAGCAACCCAGACCTTGTCAATGTCATGTCTGTAACATTCTGCTCTCCATTTTTAAAAATCCCATATGACTTTGTATCCCAATGAAACAGTATTTTATTATATATATTTATATTCAAGACAACAACAAATATATTGCAGATATTTGTTGTTGCCTTGGATTTCCTCCATTCATAGTGCAGGAGAAAATCTAGTCGATTTATATTTATCACTACAGATTAGGTTGGGATGTTATAGCATGCAATCCCTAAATCTCAGTATAATATTCACGTTCCAAATGAGCAAAAGTTCATTATTGTTTTTTATGAAACAACTTACTGTTTAGGGGAAGCAATTTTCCATGTGCCAGCTCAGCATTCCAGAATAGGAGCGATAGCACAGCGGGTAGGGCGTTCGCCTTACAAGCGGCCAACATGGCCGACCCGAGTTCGATTCCTCCGCCCCTCTCGGAGAGCCCGGCAAGCTACCGAGAGTATTCGATATGCCAGACACAGTAACAACAAAGTCTCCAATGGAGACGTTACTGGGCCCGCTCGAGCAAATCGACGATCAACGGGAGGGCCTTTACCTTTACCTTTACCTTTACCATGATACCTGCA